TATTCAATTATGATTTTATAGGATTATCACTACAAAAAAAATAGTATATTAGTAACGGAATTACGTCTCTAAAGTTTACGTAGTTAACGCAATTCCCTCTCTAATTTCGTCTCTAATGTCATTAGTAACGGAAAAAGTAAATTTAGGGATGAAAAAACCTTGTTACAAAATTGATATTTTTTTGTTATGTATGTTGTACTTTTTGTTTGGGAGTTCGGATTTTGAGTTGAAATTTGAATAGTAAAATTTTTGAATTTGAATAGTTGTATGATGTGATATAAATAGGTGTTGATGTGATGTTTTGAATGTAAAAATTGATTTTTTAGTATAATATAAAAAATAAAAAATAGGTGTTTGATTTGATATTTTTTAGGAAAAAAAATTAGATGAATAGTGTAAATCCAATCTAATCTCCCAAACAAACACACTCTAAAATATCTTTAAAAATATAAAAATATTCAATTTAGACTTTTAAAAGTTTCAAAGATATTTAATCCAAATTTTTAAAAGTTTTTTAACAGTTGAAGATATTCGACAATTCTAAACTTTAAAATTATTGTTAGAAGAGATTTCTACGGATTCTTAAAAATATATTGTTATTATTTTTGTTATTATTATTATTTTTTATTATTGATATATAAGTGATAAGCATTATGATAATAATTATTAATATTATGGGTAAATTATTTTTTTAGTCCTCTAATGGGATTTATTTATCATTTTAGTTTCGTAGCTGAAGGTTGTTTTAAAATAATTTGTAAGTAAAAAAATTTTGCACATTCAGTTCTCCAGCACCGGAGATGCCTGCATGACATGTCGGAGACACATGTCCGCCACACGTAGATAATTTTTATTTTTTATTTATTTTTTAAAAAGAATAGAAAAAACATATATAAAATAAAATATAAATAATAAATAAATAATAAAATAAAACAATAAAAATTTTAAAAATATATATATAATATACCGTGAGTGTCTTTACTTTGTGGGATAAAATTTAATACTCTATCTGTCCATTTCTAAAATGTATATTTGTTTTTGACATGCAATGTATTGATATGATTGCAAGTAGATATAAAAATAGGTGAATTTGTAAATGATTAATAGTTACTCAAAATAAAATATACTATTTTGTCTGTCCCAAAATAATAATCTTATTTTCATTAGTAACCATATCACTGTAAAATTACTCTTACTCTTTCATTATTATTATTACACAATTGCCACTACATTTTACACTAATACACTCACAAGGGCAAAAATGTCTTTTACCTATATTTTTTACTCACTATCAATATAATATCAATAAATCTTATCCAACACAACCAAGACTATAGTTTCGGGACGGAGTGAGTAAATTTTTGAATTAAACAATCAAGAAATAAATATATATAAACTTGAAGTGGACCAAAAAAATATTGTTTCAATGATCATATAACAGAATAATTTAATATTTACTTTAATTGATTATTGTATAAAATTATTATTTTTTCTTAAAATACTCTTATTTATATGATAATATTAATCCTAAGTTGACTATTAGTTTAAAAAAAAAAATATTCTCTTAACATTTATACTAACTTATAATTATTTAAGCTTTGTTTACGCAACATACTTTTATTCATTTGACACTATTCGTTTTTCAAAAAAATATCACATCAAATACAATTTTTTTCTCGCAAAACATCAAATCAAATACTAAATTTTAATTTTTTTCAAACTTCCAAATTTTCAAAAAAACCTTCAAAAAAATCTCTATCTAAAATCTCACATACAATAATCTTTAATTATTGTTATATCGGACATTATGTTATTCTGGACTATATATATATATATTTGAATTAAGGCTCAAAATTGGGAGCCAAAAGCATTAAACAAAAGCAAAAAGGAAAGGGAAATTGTGTCACAAGAAGCACACATAGCCATAGCCAAAGCCATCTCAACTATGTGACTCACCGCCGCTATTCATTTCCTTATAAACACTACAATATATATCCAACCAATTACTTCAAAAATGTTAAATAAAATATTTATTACAAAATAAATGCAAAAAAAAAATAAATTAATATTGCAATAATAATATTAATCGCCAACCAATCGAATTGGCGAGCTTGTCTTTTTTGGTTTTTTTTTTTTTCAAAAATCGTCAATAGATCTCTGCTTATGTGGCAAAAATTGCAAATTCTACCTAGTGTTATGTTAAGTAGGCTATAATTGATTTAGTATGTTTTTCAATATAAAAACAAAATTAAATGTCCGATAAAATTTTACATTGGGCAATATCTATTAGAGCATCTCCAACCGACCTCTATTTATGGTGTTTCAACCCTATTTTTGCCGCGATGCTGCTCCAACCATACGCCATTTCATGCACTAAATTTAGAGTTTGCTACAGTGCAACACCGTTTTTGGTGTTAGCACTGTAGCAAACGCCATTTATTTATTTATTTATTTTTAATTTTTTTATTTTTTAAAATTATAAATTTAATTTTTATTTTTAAATTTTTTTAAAAATTTTATTTTAAATTATAAAAATAAAAAAATTGTTTAAAATAATAGGAAAAATTGAATATTTGAAGAATAATAGTGAAAAATGGAATTATGATTGAAGTAAAATTACTTACCAACTACATATTTAGAGTTAAAATTGGATAAATGTATGGGTTGGAGAAGGCCTTACTCCTAAAGTAAAATAAATCTGTTTAGGCAGAGAGAGAAAGAAGACCGTCGGGAAGACTACACATCAGCGCAGTGGTGGGGTGTCGAAAAAAAAAAAAAAAAACCCAGGAAAGCTTCGCCTATACTAGGTTATTGCAATTTTAAATTGATTTTTGACTGTTGATTTAAAAGCCATTGTCAACCATAATTTTCACAAGAGGGAGGGAAAGCCGTCGACGGGTTAAGAGAAGTCCTCTACAAACAAACCACACTCAGTGCTCTTACTAATAAAATATTACTATTTATTCTCTGCGTCCTATATTACTATACGTTTATTTTTTGTACAAAATTTTAAAAATATTATATTTGTTATGAGAAAACGAGAAGGAAAATAAATAAAGAATACAAAAGTTTACGTGGTTCGATGACGATGTGTCGACTTACGTCCATGGACAGAAACCGGAGAGATTGTTTTATACTGATTCAAGGAGTTACAATCATGTCATACGACTAGAATCGTAACTATCTATTCATAAACACCCCAAAACACCATAAATCCTAAACTTATTTGTTATTAAATATGATAAGCTCAAAATGAACCCTGTCAATTGAAACACCCCAAAATAAATCAAAGTCACGTTTCAACAGTATTATATTGAGATGTAGCTGAAATAAAGATAAGAAAATGACAAAACTAACCGTATTAGTATTGTATGTTCTAAAAGTAATTATATTTATGTACCATATTGTAAATTAAAAGAGTATTTCTAATGTTAGGTAGACAGTAAAGTTACTAAAACAAAAATTGAATACTTTGTTATGAGACATACCAAAATAAAAAAAAATTAATAGATTGTTAGAAACGGAGGAAATATTATTATAAAAAAAATAGAGACATTAGACTATGACGAAAATAGTGGGTATATAAAAATAATGAATGTATATATTTATGTAAGACACAGGAAAATGATCATATGTACATTTTTGGACGAGACTGACACATATATATATATATATATATATAATTTTAGCTTGTATATGGTACAATGTCTACTACTAAATATAAATCATAATTTATTTTTTTAGAAAATTGTGACGATAAAACATTCATAAATTTATATTTGATATTGTATAACATAATTTTTTAGTGGGCATCTATATATATATATATTTTTATTATTGAAAAATACATTGCAAAAATCTGTTCCAGTCTATGTGGTAGAACAATATGCCTCACATTCAGCAAAATTGACATTTTTAACACATCAACATAAATCACCAATTCAATTGACAATTTTTGAAAAATAAGAGGCAAACTCGCTAATTCAATTGAGGATTTGCATTATTATAATATTGAGCTTTTGGCAATTTTCTTTTTTTTTTTTTTTTTTTTTTTTTGTGATAAAGATTTTAGTTAATATTTTTCTAATAATTGGTTCAATAATAAACTATTATATTCAATAATTATTTTATTTATAAAATAGTAGATCTAACCATTATTTTTACCTAAGAAATATCTAAATCATGAAATAAAAATAAGAGTAAAATAGTTTTTTTTTTAAAAAAAAAATTCCTATAGTTTACATACTAATAATTTGATCCCCCTATTTTAAATTTTAGTTCAAACTTTGATGCTTAGGTATGTTTGTTTGGAAATTTCTTAATAAAACTTGTAAAATTAATTTTTTATATAATATAAAAATAAAAAAAAAATTGAAATTTAGTGTTTGGGGAGAAAAAGAAAAGTGAAATAGTAAAAAAACTTCAAAAATTCCTAACCAAAATTTACTAAAATTTTGATTTTATAAATGTGTTCTTTAAAATTACTACTACTACAAAACTGTTTGAAACATTTTTTAAATTTTTATTCAAACAAATATTATATATTTTGAAATTAAATGGCGTGAAACGGGCTCCAACTGTTTGGAATTGAAGCGACTTAAAGAAACCAGTTTTTGAATTCAAAAAAAAAAAAAAAAGATTATAATTAAAAAGCACATAAACACACACATGAGAGACATCTGACTGACCTCTTCTTCTTCTTCTTCTTCTTCTTCTTCTTCTTCTCCGTCGAATCGTGGGCTCCAAGGAATTCAAGAACCACAACCCTTCCCTTCCACCATTACAGTTTTCTTCTTTGCTTCCTGCACCATATCCAAACATGCATAAGATATACATACAATTGTGACTCTAACATACATATATATGTATATATATGAATGCAAACCAGTTTAGAATGAAGAAAGTATGAATCGACCAAGTCCACACTCCAGAGAACTTTCTTGTGCCTTCTTGATCTTCATTTCTCGCCATTTTCGATCGCAGCTCGTTCCGGATCGGAGATGAGGAACAAAGGGAGCCTCGTCGGGAACTTCTTCGAGAGCCTTTTCTACACGCACCTCGTCCTCGTCGCATGTCTAGTGCTCTATCTAACATTTCGCGACCCCGATCATAATCGTCGTTTCCAGCCAAGGATATGGCATCTTCTTGTCCAGTCGTCGACAGCCTGCGCAGGAATCATAGGATTCGTGTGGCAATTGTTTACGTACCTTGATCCTTCGAGGACTTTCCTCGCCGCATTCTGGCTCAGCCCTTTTCTCACCTCCGCATTTGGGATTATGCTCGCGTGCGTCGAAACTCCGGCGTGTTTAGCAGCCGCAATGGTCCTGATAGTCGCCGGCGTCGCGCAATCGCTTTACGGGTGCTGGGCGAGTCCAAGATTCGACAATTCCTGCAGGATACTAATCTTTTCGATCAAGAACTGTCCTCCGAGAGTCAAGACCGTCGTATTCCTTTCCCTCGTCGTCAGTTTTCTTTACACGGCGTTCTTGATGTGGGGAATCGGACGGGCGACTGCGGGGGGGACGAAGATCGACGTCCTGTTCATTTTCCTCTCCACGGCGAGCTTAACATGGACAATGCAGGTAATCAAGAACGCGATACAGGCGACAGTCGGGCACGTCAAGTATATGAAATTCATGTGCGGAATAGATCTCGACTATAAGGTAGTAGTACAGACAGAAGCCAAATATTCGATCGGAAGCATATGTTTGGGTTCGATTCTCGTACCTGTCGTCACGGTGGCGCGGGGTTTAGCTCGTGCGGTAAGCCTGATGGCGGGCGACGTTGACGAGTTCATGTTCTCGTGCGCCGACTGCTGCTTGGGAGCCGCATCAGGCATCACAAAGTATGCAAATCGATGGGGATTTGTTTACGTCGGAGCTTACAGTAAAGGGTTCGTGCAGGCATCCATGGTTACATGGGAGATGCTCGCAAGAGCCGGGATGGGAAAATTGATCGAATCTGACCTCACGAGCTCATTCTGTTTCCTTTCCGGAATGGCGTCTGGATGTCTATGCGGACTTGTCGGGGGCATCCCGGCGCTCTTGCTGTACAAAAGTTACGCTGCAGAAATCGCCACATTCACATTCTTAACAGGATATTTCATGGTAAGTTATCCGCACGAAATCTTTTTATAAAAAAGACGACTTTAGGTTGATATGTATACCTGATGAACTTTCTACTCGATGCATTGCAGAATAGGGTGGCCATGGCGTGGATACAGTCGAGCATTTCAGCATACTATGTAGCTTACGCGGAAAATCCACAAGGCCAGCAATTCGATACCTTAATCCCAAACTACATCCGGGATTTAGAGAGATTATCACAAGCATAGAGTGGGTTTTTAACTGCCTGACCAGTGTATTCTAGTAGAATTCATTGTCTCTAACCTCGATATTATTTTTTGTTCGAAGATGTGTATTGCCGGAAACCAAATAGCTACGGAATTTACTAATTCATGGATGACATAAAGTGTGTAATCGATATGCATATTAGTTTAACCTTGAGAGATTTTGGAAAGCATTTCTTCCTAAACTTTCTTGGACTCTATTTTCAAATCTCACTAATATGATGATGACAGAGGAAGTACTTCAAGCATATGGGAATCGAGAAAAATGACAATATATCAACCATGTTAAATCTGTATTTATTTCATGATAAGGTGAATGTAACATATGTAATTAGAATCGAACCTCATCTATCAACCTAGCCCAAGTGATCCAAGCCATTGTAATTGAAGTGCACTAAATACCGCACAACAATCTGCAAGCAAAGAATTGTCAAGTTCATTATCATTTCCATTGTAATATCTGTTCAATGAAAAAGTTCAGCGGGAGGTTCTATTACAACGATACCTATACATCAAGCTTTCACCATAATTCTTCGACTTCCCAAGATTGACATATAAAGCTGATTGCAAAACAATGCCACAAGTCGACTCGGATAATTGTCCAACATCTTTTGCAACCAAAACCATTAGTGTATTGAAGCCTAAAGAAGTACCGTAAAGTTTTTGAGCTGCAATGCCACTAAAGTTTTGCATAACACCTATAAATACTTGTTGTATACTTTCTCAATTCTACACCGAAAATACTAGTGAAAACACATATTTTGGATGCCCTAGACGTTTGATTAGTTTGATCAACCTAGGTCACCAAATTATCATATTTCTTGTGTGCGTTTCTTTTATCTTGATTATCAAAATTTCGTTACAACAGCTACTCGATAGGCATCTCTCTATCTTCATGACTACTTCATTGCCTCTAAATCTGAAACACTTTGAACAAGGTTTAATCCTCTAGTAGCTTAAATTTACAAAAACCTAAAACAAGAACATAATGTTACTGCGTTAACCTTCTACAACCAGATTTCATTCCAAATACAAAATGAATTCACAATCATGGCAAGAAATTGAACAAAAGTATATGCCTCTGTGCACCAAAAGACAACATGATTCATATAGAGCAAAACGCCCATTATATAATCGAATCCTCATTCAATCCAACCAATCAAATATTCATTAGCATAGTGAAACAGAAAGCGGATACTCATACGCAAGTGGAGCAGCTTCCGAAACCACATTCCCTAATTAATACAAAGTTTTATTCAGCGTCAATTCTAATAATATATACGGGGAATATCGAAGGAACATTGATTTTATAAAGGGGAATTCAAGGGTTCAATTGGATTATCTCCGAATCAGCTTATTACAAATGAGTTCTTTAACAAAACACAGAAGAGCCGCAAATTAGAGGCACTAACCCGCGAGGTGGATACAGAGAGACGATTTGGATTTGAATCAAACGTCGGAACTTTGCTCGGTTTCTTCTTCTTCTTCGATTCCTTAATCCCAATGATCGTAGCAGTAGAACTGTTGTCGCAGTTAGCAATGACAATGGCCTACAAATATAAATGATTTTTTTTATAAAAGCAAAATAATACTCCCTCCGTCCAGTAGCAACATTTACTTTTGAATAATTAATTATTTTATATTAATTATTTTATATTTTAAAAATATTGAAGAGTATTTTGGTAAAACAAAAAAAAAAAAAAAAAATGTTGCAATTTAAGACGAAAGGAGTATTTTTGTTTATAATAAAAACTTAAATAGTTAAATAAATTATAATTTTTTAATACTTTTAGATGCAAAATAATATTAAAAAGAATTCCAAAATTTTATAACTACGAAACACCAAATTACATTCCTTATAGTTTCTAAATGAGCTAAATTATATATATAATAAGAAAAAAATCAAAACAAGTTTTATTGAAATCAAAATTAATCAATTATAAGATATTCATTAATTTTAGTTCCAATATAAATTATTTTAATCAATTTAAATCTCATTTTTACAAAACTAACTATAACTGCTGAAATAGTGTGGACCAACACGGCCATGTTCAACAAAACACGGTAATATAAATATAATTGTCACACTTACATGTCACTGAAAACACAAACCGTGTTTTGCTTCTTAGTCCTCCATTGAAGCATCTCCTCTTGCCACGCTAGAAAACTCCTCGGTTGGCTTTCTGGCATCATCGCCGCCCATCTCCCTCTTTGGCTCGTTCTTCTCGGTCTCACCGGCTATGATATCCAGTATCAGTCATATCTCCTCTCTCTTACTACCACATTTTCACCCTCACTGTCGTCCCCGGAAACGGCATCAGCAGAATCGACACGATATCCAAAATTTCCTTTTCAACCGTCAGATTGCTGTCGGATTGCCTATCAGTTACGTTAGTTGCAGCCGCCAAGATATACACCGACATTGTTAATGCCGTAGCGCAGTCGTTGCCGTCCGATCAAGTGAAAGCGTTCTTTCTTCTTAATTTTGTTTTGTCGGTCTGTCGGTTTCCGTTTGCCTCGCCGCTGCGCTGTTAGCCGCAACGTGGGTGTCAAGAAAACTAGGAATCTGACAGCCAGATTCTTCACCATGTCCGTCGTCATAGGCCTCGGTTTCGCTGCCTCCCGTTAAATCCTTAATTTTGTGATCTTCATCCTCATTGTTTTTGTGCTCCTGCTTTTTCTTCTAATACACTTTCTCAGCATTTTATTACAGCTGCTTCAGCTTCGATTTCGGCTTAGATTGTCCATTGAATTGTTATTACAGGAATAGCACCATATACATGTTGGCTTTAGGTTCTTTCTATGTGTAGGAAGCCCAACAATTCAAGTTAGCCCAAAAAGAATTGAGAGCCCACTTTTGTCAATTGTTGTCCTAGTCCTCATAGTTGGGAGATGGGTCATTTAGGGTAGAGATTTTTAGAGAGGAAAATCGTTATCCACGCACATGAAAGAATTGACAAGCAAGGGATAATTTCTTCGACTCGGTTCCGATCAACGGTCTCATCATCCTTAAATATTTTCTTGGTATCGTTGATTTCTCATTATTTACTTGTTTGGATTCGATTTTGAATCTTATTGGTTGTTGATTGGAATGAGTTGTTAGTAGTTGGGAGATCTCCTGTGATTGAGGTTCGATTCTTATAATTGGGTGTGAAGTTTGATAGCCCTTTTGGTTGTGGTTATCTTTGATTGTATGAACCTCTTGATATAGTGGATTTTACCTTGGGTTGGGTGATAGGCCTCGTGGTTTTTATCCTTCACTTTGAAGAAGTTTTCCACATTAAAAGTTTTGGTGTCTCATATTTTTATTTCTGTTGTTTATTGGTGGTTATCATTCATCATATTTTGGTAGAAATAATAATTGATTGAAGGGAAAGATTTTGGTGGAACAGTTTGAACACCCTACTTAGGCGTAACCATGCTTAAGAAGTACTTCGCATATGATTTTTGTTTGCATTTGGTCTTCTTCCACTATACTCCCAACATAAAGTGGTATAAGAGAAATGTTGTTTGGGAATGAAATTTACCATTGAATGATGAATGTGAACTTGGGAAGAATAATTTGCTTAGATAGAACAAATTATCATGTTTGGAAATGGAAGATAACTGATCTTCTATATGTGAAGAAGTTACACGGGCCAGTATTTTCTGCAGCAAAGCCTGATGTTGAAACTAGTTATGCAGATTGGGAATTTGAGCATCGACAAGTATGTGGTTTCATAAGGTAATGGGTAGAGAGAACAATATTTTGAATCACATTGTGAATGAGACCAATGCCAAAACATTGTGGGACAAATTGGAAAACTTATATGCTTCGAAGACTGGCAATAATAAGTTGTTTCCACTATACTCAAGCAGGCTATACGATTGAGTTATCATGAGAACAAGTCCTTTTCCGATCACATAAATGAGTTTCAAGGATGTTTCGATCAGCTGTCAGGCATGGGAGTGATGTTTGATGATGAGGTACTTGGTTTGTGGCTACTTAATACTCTTCCAGATTCATAGGAAGGTTTCAAAGTCTCTTTGCCTAATTCTGCGCCCGATGGGATAGTCAATTTAGAATTTATCAAAAGTGTCATTTCGAATGAAGAGGTGAGGAGAAAGACTCTTGGCACTTCATCTTCTCATTCAGAGATCTTAGTTACAAATAATAGGAAGAGAAATTGGAATATAGGCCGAGATCATGGGAATCGAGAAAAGAGTCGAGGAAGAAGTAAGTCAAAGCCAAAATACAAAGACCTTGAGTGCCATCATTGTGGCAAACAACACATCAAACGGTATTGTTTCAAGTTGAAAATTGAGCAGAAAGGCAAGGACAACAAGTATGAGCAGAAAGATGATGATAGGAGCAATAATCGTGTGAATACGACAATGCTGGAGGATCTCGTCATTGTGTATGAGGAAGAGCGAATTCATCTTACCCAAAATGAGACTAGTTGAGTTGTGGATAGTGGAGCTGCATTTCATGTGACTGCCAATAGGGATTTCCTCACATCATATACTCCGGGAGACTTTGGAGTCTTGAAGATGGGAAATGATGGTTTGGCGAAAGTAGTAGGCACAGGAACAGGTGTTCGGATACCAGTAGTGGATACACACTTGTGCTGAAGGATGTGAGGCATGCTCCCGATGTTTGACTGAATCTAGTCTCCACTGGTAGGTTGGATGATGATGGATATTCCTACCATTTCGGTGATGGAAAATGGAAGATTACCAAAGGTTCTATGTTAATTGCTCATGGTAAGAAAAAGTCCAATTTATATTGGTTTCATGCTATTATTTCTGCGAATGGTGTTAATGCAGTTCAGAATGGGAGTTCTTCGAGCTTATGGCATAGGAGATTGAGTCACATTAGTGAGAAAGGACTTCATACTTTGGCGAGAAAGAATCTACTCCCTGGTGTTAAATGTACGCAACTTGAAAAGTGTTCACGTTGCCTTGTGGGAAAGCAAAGACGGGTTTTCTTTGTTCATCACCCTCCTACGAGGAAGAAAGACATTCTTGAATTGATCCATTCGGATGTGTGCGGTCCTTTGAAGGTAAAGTCTTTCGGAGGTGCAGTTTATTTTGTTACCTTTATTGATGATCACTCAAGAAAATTATGGGTTCGAGTGTTGAAATCAATGGATCGGTTCTTGATGCTTTTGTTAAGTTCCATGTTTCTGTTGAGAGACAAACATGTAAGAAATTGAAATGCATCAGGACTGACAATTGAGGTGAATATCGGGGACCGTTTGATGCTTATTTTCGAAAGCATGGTATTCGACATCAGAAGACGCCTCCTAAAACTCCGCAACTAAATGGCTTGGCAAAAAGGATTAATAGAACGTTGATGGAGAGAGTCAGATACGTGCTTTCGGATGCTAAATTGCC